TCAAGAGGATTGGTTACAACAAGATATTTATAAAGATTGGTTAGTTCCCAACGCACATGCAAAAACTAAAGCTTATTGCAAAAAATGTAAAAAATCATTTGAATTGTCCAATATGGGTATTCAGGCTGTTAAAAGTCATGCAGCAGGTATTTACATTAACTTTTTTAACGTGAGAGTGAGAATTAAAAAAAAAATGTTGCTTAATTGATTCATTATTTTATATTTTAATATCAGTTTCAAACACATTGTAATCAACTTTTGATTGCAACCTGTTTCAGTTGTTTTCCTTGTTGGTTGGTTGCTAATATTGTAATTTCAAACTTTGCAAGCTAAACAGATTGAGAAAAAAGATAAAAAATTTTAGACATTTTAAATGTTTCATTATTTATTTATCTTGTTTTAGGTAAGAAGCATCAGTCTGCTACAAAGCCTGTTAGTTGTTTCTTTATTAATGGAAAAGAGTTGCATGCTGAACCACTTGGAAGTGAGGAAAAAATATCCACATTTTTCACCAAAAAACAAGCAACTATTGTCTCTTTAATTAAATCATCGTTATCAACTAATGCTGAGATCATATGGGCCCTGAAATCTACAATGAGCTGCTACTCTAATAACTCATGTGCAAATTTAAATGACACTTTTAAAAAGATGTTTCCTGATAGCAAGGTAGCAGAAGATTTCACTATGAGCACCTCAAAAGTATCATACATTGTTAACCATGGACTAGCCCCATACTTCAAGACACTTTTAAAAGAAGAAATCACAAAGTCTGATTGTTACATTGTATCTTTTGATGAGAGTTTAAACGACATAACCCAAACTTGTCAGATGGATCTACTTGTTCGGTATTGGGATGGCAATGACAAAGTTAAAGTGAGATATTGGACATCAGCATTTCTTGGTCATTCTGCAGCTTCTGACCTTCTTACACATTTTAATGAAAACTTATCAAGATTTGATTTAAGTAAAATGTATCAAGTATCCATGGATGGACCCTCTACGAATCTGAAATTTCTAGATGATCTTAATAAACACAGAAAGGACAACGAGATGCCACAACTTATAAATATTGGAAGTTGCTCTTTGCATGTAATCCATGGTGCTTTTAAAACAGCTATCGAATCAACAGCATGGAATATTAAAGAAATTTTAAAAGGGTGTTGGCAAATTCTTCATGATAGCCCAGCTAGACGTCAAGATTATGAAACAGTCACAGGTGCAACAAAATACCCTCTTTTTTTTTGCGGAACAAGATGGGTTGAAAGTAAATCTGTTGCAGATCGTTGCATTGAAATCTGGCCTAATATATGTAAGTTGATTGAGTTTTGGGAAAAGTTACCATCTTCGAAACAACCTAAATCAAAAAGCTTTTTAAATGTAAAAAAGGCTGTTAAAGACAAACTTATTATTTTAAAATTTGAAGTTTTCAGCTTTGTTGCAAGCATATTAGAGCCATATTTGTTGGCATACCAAACTGACAAACCAATGATTCCATTCATGTATAGTGACTTAGAAAAACTGTTACGAACCATACTAAGCTTGTTTGTGAAACAAAATGTTATTGATAATAGTTGTATTTCAGTACAACTAAAAGAAGTTGATTTTCATAAAAAAGATAATCTACTTAAAGGAAATCAAATCAAACTAGGGTTTGCAGCTGAAACAAGACTGGCTGCTTTACGAAAGAAAGATATAATAACCATTGCTGATATTCAAAGTTTTCACAAAGATTGCACTAACATGTATGTTCAATTGATTGAAAAGTTCACGGACCGAACTCCACTAGGATCTATCATTATACGCAACTCTCAGGTTCTTAATCCAAATGCAATGGTAGTAATGACTCAAGAAGATGCTGAGAAGAAGTATAAATCTTTATTGACCCACTTGATTAGCTTGAAATATGTTTCACCAATCTTTTCTGATAAAGCTATAAATCAATTTGCAGATTTCTTTAGAGAATCAAGAGTTTATCAAGACATCTTTCATGAGTTCAATCGAGAAAGAGATAGCTTAGATGAATTCTATTTTAAAAAATTTAACCTAAATAAATATAAAGAATTTGCATTGACTGTTAAAATATTATTAACACTAAGCCATGGACAAGCCTCAGTTGAGAGAGGTTTTAGTATAAATGCCACAGTACTAGAACAGAATTTAAATGAAAAATCAATAACTGCAAGACGTTTAGTCAAAGATCATATGCTATCAAATAATCTTCAGCCACATAGTATTGAAATTACTAGCAAAATGATCATTAGCGTAAAATCGGCACACGAAAGATATAGAAGCTACCTAAATTCAATCGCAGATACTAACAAAAAAGAAGCAAGTCAATTGGCAAAAAAAGTTGTTAGCGATGAAATAAAAGATGCTGAAACAAGGCGAGATCAACTGAAGAAAACCAGTGAAATGTTGCAGTTTGATTTTGTAAAATTTGTGGAGGAAGCAGAGGAGAAGCAAGATCTAGGGTTAATTTCTAAAGCTAATGCGATGAAACGAAAAGCAAATGAAAAAAATGAAGAAATAAAGAAATTAGAGCTAGCACTTTGCATCTTAGAGCAAAAAAGAAAAATGCTAAAATAATATATTCGTTCTCACATGAAGTTTATATTTTGTAAACAAAACACATTAGTTTTTTCAAAGCATATATAAAATGTTATTTTTTTAATATTTCTTTTAGTTATCAGATTAATATGGCTCTGTTTCTTGTTTAAAACACCTTTAACAGATTGCTATAAATTAATTAAAGACAGTCTCTGATTTCTTAAAAAATAGTGATAAAAAGTATTTAGGGAACAAGGATTCAGTTGCAATAGTATTATATTTTTCAACATTGATAGGCAAAATATTTAGACTTTTCACCGCACAAACTCAGGGAAAAAATACTTGAAAATCAGGGAAAATCAGGGAAAACTCAGGGAAAATGGTTTTTCAAAACTGCCATGAACCCTGTAATATTCACATATCTTTCTAACAAGCTGGCTGGAATGCAAATCTTCATTTTCAGTCCACAATTCTATGTCGTGACTATCAAGTCCTTTAAAGACTTTTTTTTTTAATAATTAATTAGTTAACACAATGGATCATCTTATGCTTTATATTTTTATCTGAGGTTATTTTCGGATTTTTAAAATCTTTACTCCTAATAAAGAAGTTAAATACTTTCTCACACATCTCTACAACAAAAACAACATCCCTTGATGGCAAAAACAAACCACCACGATCTTTCACATTTAATGAAGAATGAGATTTCGCATAGGAATGTTCGTATGATAAAATATCAGTTAATGATTAAGCACAAACATTACATGAAATAGTATTTATCAAGTTTCTGACTATAAAACCAGATATATATCCCAATATTGCTTCTTTGCAGCTAGACATTTGAAGTTCATCGCAGTACAAAAAAACTTCTTCAAAGTCAATATCCTCTTGGTCAAAATTATCAACAGAACACAACCTTTTTTACCAACTAAGACAAAAAATAGAGCCATTAGAATATGGCTCAAACATTAGGCAGTTAGCATGACTCGATCCAACTATGGAGTTTCGCAGAAGAATCTGTTTTAACAATGATTTTAACTGCACTACATCAGGATTGCTGTTGTAACTATTTTTTCCACGTAGTAGTTCAAGATGATCTTGGGAATATTTGTAAGTTAAAACATACTTAATTGGTTTCTCATGAAGTGTTAACAGATCGAAAAATAATTTTAGAGTGCTTTTAGCATCTACAATTAAACCTAAAACAAATGTCTTTCTTCGATGTAAAAGCATTGGAATGCCATTAATATCAGTCAACTTGCTCAGATAAGTAATCGTAGTGTTTAAAAAATCTTTCCAATAAAGCTGATTATTTAGATTTAAAGGTTTCTTAAAGTGTTTACCATTTGGATTTCTGGAATTGAGCATGTCAAATAATTTATTAATAACTCTTACAAAACAGATGGTACTACTTGCATCAGCAACAGAGCTGCTAAGTGTTTGGCCAGCTATTTTGACATTCATTTTGTGGCGATGAAATTCAATATGTTTTCTTGAAAGTTTGTTTGCAAATTTTAAACCTTCAAGCTCTTGTAACTCAAACAAAGCTTTAATATAAATCCATTTAATATAGCAGCTCTCATCATCAATAAAAACACCCAAATCATTTAGAGAATTTCTAGTTAATTTAAGCATATGGCATGGGTCTAGGAAAATGTGGAGCAATTGGTCATTATACAAAAAAGTACTAACTATATTGTTTATGACATTGCCAAACTTACATCCAAATGGGACAACGGAATTTAAATTTGTACTGGTACCATCAAATGTAATACTTTTGATACAAAGTTCATATGTCAAAGCCACATAAAAATATTTTTGATAAAATATGTTAAATCACTTGCTTTAACTTTATTTGATAAAACATAACCAATAGGTGTTTTCCAATGTCCTGGCAAACCAACTAACATGAAAATTAATGCCTCTGTAGCTGGAGTATCAGGTTCACATACAGAAATATCTTTATCAAAATCACAAAAACTAATATAGTGACCTGAACTTTTGTCATAAATTATACTGTTTTTGATTGCCATAGCATCAATAATAAGAGCACAATGCTTAAAAATATCTGTTTTCTGTTTATCACCAAGATATGAAAAAACATCAAGGAATAAACCGGGATCACAATTTACAGATGATGTCCAATGTGATATTGAACTGGCAGCAGGAAGACATAACATTGGCCAAAGAAAGTTATACACATGTGGAGAATAAAAATGAAGAGTTAAAGCGAATTTTTTTACTTATCGTTGTATCTGTGACCTTTTGGTTTAATATTTTGATTGGAAAATTGGTTCTTAATGATTTCATATGAGAGTCCAGAAAATTTTTCACTTAAAACAGTTCCAGCATCAAATAATTTTTAGATTTTTAAAGGGAAACCATGTCTTGTAAAGAACAGATTTTCTTTTTTTTTCTTCTTAATTTTTGTTGTAAAACCTTAACTTTTTTTTTTATTTTTTTTTTGCTGGTGATAAAGATTTTATAGATTGTGTTGGAGATTGACTAGTGTGGTCATTTTGATCAATAGTGCTTTCTGGCTGATTATTATGTGTTGAATTAATTTCTTTGCTGGGTTTATTTATAGCAGGGCAAACATCAAACTTTGTTTTTTTCGATAAAGGATCAAATTTAGATAATGAATTTACTGATGTTCGTATTGATGGGAGTTTCCTTTTTATCTTTTGAATATTTGTAAAAAATACAAAAACTGATGGCACAGCATTAGATTTTTTTTTGTCTGGGATACAGTAATTGTAGTCTGATTCTAAAAAATGGTCGCTGCAGATGCAGGTGTGTTTGGATGGAAAAAAAATTTCACGTTTCAAAGCAATAATCCATCTTTTACATAATTCAGAATTTTGAAGAGGAAATTTATGAAAGGATTTCGTGCCACCTTTTATATATCTATTAGAACATCCATATGCAGCACAAGAATTTACCATTTTGTGATGAAAATAGTTGAATTAAATAAATACTTCAGCAAGGTAAAAGAAATAATGTCGCGAATTTACTCTCTATATTATATATGATATTTACTGTTTTCTGCCCGATATAATAATGGCTGATTAAAATAGTAAACAAATAAATCGGCTTCACTTTTATTTTATAAAAATCCCGAAGTTAGACATCTAGTTATTTATTTACGTCATTGATTTCTTATGACTATGGTGAAACTGACTATACACATTATTAAAATTTTTAAACTTCATTCCCCATCTGACATTCACAGGTCCCCGTCTGACACCCTAATGTCCCCGTCTGACACCCATTGGCCTTCCAGATTTACCTTAGCAGTAAACTATAGATACGATTTGTATCGCAGACACCAGTTAGAATTAAAAGGCCTTTGTAAAATAATTTTTTTTTTTTGCATCACTTTCGTGCTATTCATATTGATATTATTAAGAATATCGTTGGAAGGGGGTTGCTAATACCACATCAACTTTTGCTTACTTAGAAGTTTTCTGATTAAGTTGTAGATTGTCACACTCACTCTGATTGGCTTCGTATTTAATGAAAACTAAAAAACTTATTTCACGTTTTTTATAAAATAACTTCACGCAATAAACATAAATAACGCAGCGACATTAAAAACTTATCCAAAAAATGCTATGAAGTGTCTTCTTTGATGATATTAAAGTTTTTAATAAGAAATTTACATCATGGCTAAAGATTAACTCTTTAGCCATATTTTCTATCAAGAAAGTAACTTGCATTATTTATTCACCGCAAACCGTTTTTTAGGTTTATTTATTTATTTATTTATTTTTATTTTTTTGTTTAATGAGATTAATCAAAAACTTGAGAATCTAAACTTTTTTTTCAAACTCCCTGATCTGTAATTTGAAAAAAACTAAACTTAAACCTACTCAACTTAAGTTTTGTGCATAATTTTGACATTTAAACCAGTCTAAACAAACATGATAAATTTTACAAACGGTTACAAAAATTTATTAAACTTTTTTATTAGTTTAAAAAATATTTATTAAAAAATATTAAACTATTTGACTAAAAAAAATACTTTAGCCTGTAGTAACAATCAATGAACTTTAGCCTGTAGTAACAATCAATGAACTTTAGCCTGTAGTAACAATCAATGAACTTTATGAAACAGAATCACAAAATGACATTTGTTTTGTTTTTGGTTCATAAAAAATGTTCCGCATCAATGGCAATGAAAATTCGAAAATCTAAGTACATTCGGCACAGTCAAAATGTATTATTTGAAATAGGCTTCAGATTCAAATATTTAGCTGTTATACATTTCTGGTACAGTTCTTCTTTCTCCTCTTGTTCGGCACAAATATTTTTTCGTGGTACGTTTAAAAGGGATCTTTAAATATTGCAGTGAATTACAATACACTTTTTTTTTTTAAAATTTTAGGTGCCCCAAGAAGTCCTTACGGTCTTATCACAGTGCACCGCGAAAGAGCATTTTAAAGGAAGTTTTTGCTTACTTTCTTACCGACGTTATAAAATTTTCCCAGAGGCAGCGTTGAATCACTCAGAAGTGTTACGCGCTTGCCTCAGAAGCTCTCTAGCTTCTGAGGCAAGCGTGCTAACCACTGCGCTACGGCTGCACTTCATTGATTCAGAGCAACTTAATTTGGAAATTCCATTCATGAGCTTCTGTTTAATTTCTTTATTGAACATATGATGCTTTGCAACATGACTGTTGCAAGACATCATATTGTGAATAAATCAAGAATATTATAAAGATGCTATTAAGAATATTATCAGGAGCGTATTTTATTTTAATAAAGATATTAATGTTTTATTTGCAACAGTAAACAAAGAGCTTGCAAAACTAAGCGAATACTTTATATCGAATAAATTGTCCATAAATACTTAAAAAAAAAAATACTTACTTCCATCATCTTTATAAAAAAGATGTCATTCCCTGAAAATTTAATAATCTTTATGTAAATAACTCTTATGTCAAAAGCATTCTTTGTTGTTCCTAGGTGTAGTTTTGGATGATAACTTAACGTGGAAGGAGTACATTCGTATAATCCAAAATAAATCAAAATAATATAGGCCTCCTTTACAAAGCAAAACAGTTGTTAGACAAAACCTGTTTGAAATTCATTTACTTTTCTTTTATTCATTTCAATCTAAATTACGCTAACATTGCTTAAGCAATACATTATACATTAATACAGATACATTAATACAGATACATTAATGCTGCACCAAGCTTGGTGCAGCATTAATGTATCTAAAGCATTGCTTGGTGCAGCACTAATGCATCTAAAAATAATAAGCTACTAATTAAACAAAAAAAATTTTAAGAATTATTCGAAATGTGGATTGCTTGTTACACATTAAAATTTTTTCTAATAAATTCAAAATACTCAACATATTTCAACTTGACCTTTACCAAATTCTTAATTTATGTTCAAAATTGATAATAAAATGGCACCCATCTTATTTTACTCATTTTTTTTTAAATAAATCATTTATAACCAACCAGGGCCAGGTTTTTTTTTTGGTTTTTTTATTTTTGTTCTTTATTACATTTTAAACAACATTCCGTTATAAATATACAAATTAAAAAATAAAATATAGAAGTTACAAGAAAATAACAAAAAAGAAAAATCGTAAATAAGAAATAAAAGAACGCGGGGACTCGTAGAAGACCGTAAGGTCTTGTCGTCGAGAACCGCTAAAATGAACGTGATACAAACAAATTAAAAATATTCAGAAAACCCGTTATAAATATAAAGATCAGTTATATAAATACTATATAAGTTAATAAATATATAAACTGTCGTATATATTGATACATATTCTTGGTAAATAAATAAATTATAAAATAATAATAGTTCTATGATAAGTGGAGGTAAAATGGGAAAACTATTAAAAATTATTAAAAGTAAATTGATAGATCGTCAATTGTAAAAATTAATTCTTTTAACTTTCGTTTAAAAGAGTTGTAGTTACATTGTTGGATAAAATCTTGAGAAAAGTTTTTAAAGACAATTTTGTTCCATAAGAATGGTCCGCGAGAAGTAATGCAGAATTTGCTCAAGTTAGTTTGAAAAAATGGCTGCTAAATAAAATTGTTATTGCGTAAAAAAGTATTTATTTTTATCTTTTAACATATACAAATCATGGAAAGAAACTGGTGATTAGTTTTACATTTGAACATTAGTTTTACATTTGAACATAAAACAAAGAGTATTATAAACATTGAGTTGATATACATTTAAGGTGTTCATTTTTTTTTAATAGAGGCTTTGCATGAGTAAGACGTTCACTAAAATGTATCATACGTGCTGCATGCTTCTGATGACGATAAAGAGGTTCAAGTTTGCTTTTATTGGTGCATGCCCATGCAATGTTTGCATAATTTATATGGCTATGAATAAAAGAGAAATATAATTGAGTTAAAATTTTTTTATTTAAAAAGTTAAGTTAAAAGGTTAAGTACTTCTTGGCCTCCCGGCACTTTAGGTCTTCTAGCCCCTGTTGGCCTCCTAGTATTCAAATTAAACAGCGGTTTAAAATTTAAAAAATTTGTTATTTTGCGCTATAGGTTTATAATGTATTTCTTATTTTGTAACTAAACAGGCATCTCGCGTTATTTTTTATTAAAAACACGCTGCAATTAGAATAGGTTTTAAAACACCTTTAGTCTGCATTTTAAGCTTGCAAATGCAGATATGATATCTTTAAGGTCCAATACCCGTTTTTATATGAAGAATAGAAAGTTCTGAAAGTTTTTCCTGAAAAAAAGCTCAAGATTAAAGACATTTGTTCAATAATTGAAGGTTAAGATTAGAAGGATATCGGTCAACAGGTTTTTGTTCACTGCAACTGATCTCCAAGATATCCATGCTACGGAGATTTAAAATAAAACCAAACAACGTATTCAATCCAGAATAGGCTTTCTTTCTTTTACCTAGATCACTCTTAGTTTGTCCATGATCTCATTAACGTCGGCAATCATTAAAGTTCACCCAGAAAACACTATTGTTTCCACACTATTAATTTCATCATTTTCATCAATTTCATCTTGCGTGCTCTTGGGAGCCTTTGAACATAAATATATTCATTTGTATTGACCAAAGATACATCTTACTTTTCAAATTGCTCGAAATTGGAGAAAACTTATGGCATGTCATGCTCCAGGAAGTTGCTGCACGCAATACTCCAGGGAGTTGTACAGTTATTTAACCATACCTAAATCAAGCTTAACAAACTGCAGTTTTTTGCTAACTTTATTGAATCTTTCCTTGATTCCGTTTTAGTGAAAGGTTTGAAGACTTCTGCTCATGGTTTTGCTTTCTGATTGTCGCACCATCACAAATAAAATATGTTTTCATTTGATTTTCTAAATAATTCTTCATCACATTATAAACAGAATAAACCTTTTCAATGGCTAAACAAGCATTAGCACAAGCTGACTAACGAGTTTTTTAGAGAGTCTATGGAACCTGGATACGTATTCAAGCAAGGAACTTTGACTTTAAGATGCGTTGATGGAAGGAACTTTACTTTATGACATCGATTCGTTGATGCAGAAAAGAAGTTATAAATTTCTTGAAGAAAGCTGAAGAAATTACCAGCAGCTCCGTTGTATTCACTTCTATGAAGTTCAAATAATGAGCAGCACTTGAAATGTATTCGATTAGAACGTTGATCTCTTTAATTCTTGCTTGTAAACCAAAGTAGATTGCAGACATATTACTGGTATTTTTGTATGACTGGCCACGCCAATTTTGAATGTTGATTGCATACGAATCTAACTTTTTCAAAACGAATTCCATAAAATCCCTAACCTCGGCGCTATTAAATGTATGAGTTCTTCGCAAATGTCTTTAGATAAGTACGAGGTGCTGCCCTTTCCTTTATTTCCATAAGTTATCAAGTATTGGGAGAGGAAAGAATAAAATTTCTTTTTTTACCATAAAATTCTTAAATTTTTTTAAGTTTTTTT